AGCAGAAGACAGAAACAAGTGGAGACGTGTAGTTGAAGCTCTATGTTCCACTAGGAACCCAAGGGAACAATAATAAAATAACAGAAATACATTAAAACTAAGATTGCATCCACAGACTCAATGTTCACTATAGAGGAATAGGTAGACTTACTTTGGGCTTTTGTTTAGACAAGACCAATGACATTGTGAGGAAGACTATTGCTTATTTCTATCTGTTTCTAACGATACCTGAGCATATATATATGTATATCAGTATCATGTGATCATTATATAACTAAATCAGTTGTGAGGAGTGACAACTATTCAACACCATTTACTTTTGGCATTCACAGAATATTGTTAAAGTACATATATATATATATATATATGCATAACTACTCTTATTTTGATTAATATTTTGACTCTTTTGTCTTCTTAACACTATCAGTACCTAAACAACACTCTATTTTTGGTAATTTCGCTCTCTTCCATAACACTTTGGTTAGTAGAACCGATATATAACTGAGTATAACCCTTTTATTATATAAGTTAATTTAAGAGATTTATTTTTCATTGTATAAGGACAAAAATATTGAGTAATATTATTTTTGTCACCTATGGCAAATGGAGAATTTTTAAAGTACAATAATTCAGGCTGTTTTTAGTGTGTGTCAGTAATTGACATTAAGATAGATTAATGTAGGTCTGGTAATAAACTGATCTTGTTAGTTATTCGAATACCTAATAAGTTTTAATCAACTCACTAAGTGATGTCACTTTGGTGAAGTTTGTCTTGAAATCTGAACATGGTTACCCTACTGGTGTCGAGCCACGAGAGATAGATTTGCTAAAGATTGAATAGGTTGAAACTAGTGGGGACTATGAATGCAAGCACTCAACTGTGTCAAAGAATGGCTATGAACTTATGTTGTGAATTTATCGATCAGTGGATTCGAACTCAGAGGAATAAGGTCAATATGCTTGTCTTGTAACAAGGAGCTCCTAGGTTTAGTGGTAGTCCTAGTCCACTGACAAAGTCAGATGATCTGCACCGTCTAAATGCAAATTATTGTTGAAAGATTGTTAGGAGCCTGTACATGCACTCACCCTCGTAGGGGAACCATTTGAAATTGTCAACGTGTTCTCATACCTAGAAAGTTGTGTGAGTGCTGGCAGAGGTATGACGGACGAAGTTTTCAACTGCATAGTGAAAACTAAGGCAGCTTATGTCAACTTGGGCCACCAGTGGTTCCGTCACAATGGCTACCTAGCTGCCGAATGTCAGGTCTACAGTGCTTCAGTGCACATAGTCTTACTCTACGGTCGTGTAATCCGGCCTTCCCGAAGAGACTTTGCGTATTCGACTACCACTACCTCCGTAGAATTCTATCATCATGTAAGTAATTCTGAGGTCCGGCAGCATATGTCTGGACACGCATGAATATATCAGTTCACCTGTTGCTGTAAAGCCAGATACATTGGTCTTTCAACGCGTTTCCTGTCAAAAAGAGTTCAAGAACACTATCCTGCATGGCTGCAAAAAGGTAATAGTGGTTGTATAAGGAGTGCGAGAATCGAACAACTCGTCAACAATAGTCATTCCATCTCAACGAACGCCTCCTTCAAAGTAATATACAAAGTGAAGAATAACCTACCAAGAGCAATGCACTTTCGTCTCCTTTTGTATTGCTGAAGCCTTAACCATTCAGTTGGAAAAACCAGAGCCATGTATACAAGCGAAAATCATTCAACCACTTCTACTATCCTGGTAACAGCCGTGTTGACTTAGACTGACTTGATGTTTGTGTGCTTGTTTTTTCCTAACTCCTTATAACATTTGTAATTTTAGAACTCTTATATAATTTCATATTTTGCCTTGTTTCTATGTGCATCCTAATTACAGCTCATTCATTAAACTATTCATGTTATTACGTGAATGTATTATATTTATTCAACTTCTTTTACGTGTTGATTAAAATTACTATGTTTTTTAGACAACACCCACTGCCTTCTTACCAATCTTCACCCCGCTAGTTATAAGTTGATTATTCCTCACATTTTCGGAATGTCTTGACAACATTAGCCCTAACTAATTTTTGTTTTTATTTTACCGTAAACCTAATGTATGCACATATATAAATATAAGTATATATAATTGTGACTGTACAGCTAAGTGAATGAAATCACCGAAAAGAGACTCTTCGCTACACTACGCAATTTGTTTTCATTATCGCCGGATATCATCTCTTATCAAGTGGTGTCAATTTAGATGACCAAATTGGTTATCTCAAAGGCTTCCATACTGTTCACTGCTTATTAGCCATAAGACTCGATGGAAAAGCGGAAAGGTGGTTAGTCTACGATGTGGCGCCGTTTTATGAAGGATATTTGTATTAGGTCTATATTCGTTAGTGCCTCATATCAGCAACCTGAGAGGTTATCATATATGACCAAGAACCATACTCAATTACTAGCATGCTTTAATTTCCTGATTTCCTGCCTTTCTGAAAGAAACGTGAAGTAATGGATCATCCTTTGGAGGATATTGACGATTAAGCCTACGTTCCTTCTGGATGTCCTATATTTATTCTATTTCTACTTTCCTCAAATCGTTGTTTTTTTGGCGTGACACCTTTAAATATCCATTTTAACTGATCCAAACCAGAAGACTGGTTAACACACACTCTTAGAATTGACCCATGGACTTTTTGATTGATAAAAATTTCTATTTATTTATAATATTCTATGTCATTCGAAAGCATAGTGGTGAGACCACTGCAGTACTTTTGTTTAAATTCTACATTACTCACCAATCACCATGGTATCAGTGTTTAAAAAGAATGTACGTAGTTATGTGTGAACTAGGATTGGTATTTTGATCGTGTTAACACTAAAGTGAATTGAAATAACCCTGTTTTAGTGCATCATTTATGACTTTCATAATTTCTACAAAAATGTCCAACAGTTTCTAACAATACAGAATTTCTAACATCATCAAAAGAAGTAAATAAGTTTTGATTCAAACTGGGTAGTTTTGAATAAACTATCTGATAATTGAAGTTCCAGTTGGATTCCGAAGCCAACTAACTACAGTTGAACAAATTCATCGTGAAAGTACAGTTTGTATTCTAGTTCATAGAGAAAATTAATGGTTCAGAATGAGGTTGAACATTTTCCGGTGATATTCGACCCACGGTGTTTGATTGTGGACTTTGTAACATCATGTTCAATGACGTCTTCTCTCTTCGTCTATCTCTCGTTTTCTTATAATTTTAAACTTGAGTTTTTAGTGTTTCCTTAAATAAGAATGATTTTACGCCTGATTAATACTTTTCACTTCTGGGGAACACAGTTTAAGGAAATATCTATATGAATTACTGGATAATCGTCAAGGGGAACCTAATAAAAATAATTGAAATACGTTTACTCAACTGTTTATATAATCAGTCGTTGTAGATGTCCAATTAGAATATGTATACTTGTACAAGTAGAGAGGTAAGCAGCTGTAATGTCAGTAAAACGTTTGAGCTATTGCTTGAAAGCAGTAATTCAATAAAACACTGTTGGGCTTTGTAATCGATCGTGAAATTTATATTAAAATGTGCATTTGCAACACAGTCTGACATGAACAATAACAAAGCCCATAGTAAGAAATAAATATGGCACTTACGGTTATCCGGTGTCACCAAGAAAGAAAATTATTTTATATATATGTAGGTTGAAGGTGAAGGCCATGGGACAGAAAGATTAGGATGAAACTTTTTGATGGCATCTGTCTCAACTATGCTTAACATTGGAATGTTTCTAAGTGGCGCATCATAAGGGTGCTGAATCTTTGTCAACCTGATGCCCGGCATCCACTAAGCACGCCAATATGTATCATTTAACTTCTGACAATGCTCAAGAAAGCGATAGTAGAGTTGTCCTACTTATATAACCGTCTCCACAACAGCAGTTAAATATATGACTGTATACTGAAAAGGCCAGACTGGATAGCTTATCGTTCACCTGCACTGGAATTATACAACAAATAGTGTGTTCCATCAAAGAACTCTTCACCTATCGTTTTTTCTTTTCAAAGTTTTTGTACCGCTTATTAGGCAGCTAAATCACCTTTGAAAGGTATGATCAAGTATAAGAGTTTTTCATTTCAGTCGTCTGCAAGCCTCTCTGTCTAACTGTTCTCAATTAATTGACAGAACAGTCTATATAAAAGTGTTAATTTTAAGCAATCATTGTTAGCTAAAATAAAAAGACTTAGAAATGTAGGTTTTATTATTATTATTTGAGATATCAATATAATTAGGAAATCGGCCTATCAGTGGCAGTCTTCGCGTGTAAATGCAGTTTTCAAACTGCATAAATAATTTTCAAATTACTTCAGACATCATCTGATACTTATTTCAGATAAGTCAGAGTCTAGATGTAGAATCCAGAATGCATTTTTCGTCCTACTTGAAGTTCGTTTCACAGGATGTTTTCTGTCTTGAGACTCACACTATTCACAGATCATTTTCCAACGCTAAAATGTTGCCTGCATGATTACTGAGACATTTATCAACAAAAATTTGCTAACTGAGTTCATTTAGACAAACAATCAAAGGCACAGATATTGCGTCACATGACCAAGTGGTAAGTGATTTAGAAAGCAAACATATGGGTCCTAGGTTAAGGCACGTATTCTTTCTTAGTAGTTAAGTCCTTCTAATGCCTTAAATTAATCTACCCGGTTCAGTGGAATAAACAATGCTGCCTTAGTTATCATGTATCACGTTCACGGCATAGATGAAGTGTATTAGTTCATAATGGCCATGTAATTAATTCATTGTACAGTCTAACGACTATTCATTTCTCCTGGCTTTATAAAATAAGAGTGAAAACCCCGAATCCTCCACACGCACTAACTATTCTTTAGACCTTAAGACTATTTTTTGACGCAATCATACCTAATCATATAATGAAATAAAAAATTTAAAAAATATCTGTACAATAATTTACATTTGTATTAATTTATAACTTACTGCTTTACCTCCTTTATGGAATAAAGAAGGTCCTAGTGGATTACTTCTTTGTGCAGTTGCCATTATTCACGCTTTAGAAAATGCTTTACTCAAAAGATTTAGTTAATGTTAATTAGTGAATGATTGTGAGTAAATTCTATGCTTATAAATAATGATAATAATTTCGTAAAGGTCGAACTCTGATTGGTTATCTCCTGAGTTCGTTTTTGATTGGTTGATTAATCTAGCTACTGGCAAATTGAATGACTCAAATAAGTAGTATATAAATGTAAATAATAATTCAGTAGTTCAGTTACCATGTGCTTTAATACAAATTATGTAGTATATTTTATGCAAATTATATGTAAATTAAATCTTAGAAAAAGATAAACACGTTAAAATATGTAATATTACTTTGAAGAATGAATAAAATCACGGATAGTAAATCGAGACAACGAAAAATCCAACCGTGAGGAGAAAAAATAGTCTTTGTTCATCTCCCGTCCCGTAGAGAATCGGTATCCAAAATAACTGAAAAAAAAATAATAAAAGTAGCACTAAAGCGATGTTTCCCTGAATTTAAATCTGTGTGCGTGTATTGCACCACAAGCTCAGTAAGCCAGTCGAAAATATAGATAAGTGCCAAGTGGCAAAAAGAAGGGTTTCTGCCTGGAAATTCCAAGAAATGTATACCTAATGGAAAGCAAATATTTAAAAGTCCCAATCACAAGACGTCTTGGGGATTAGGGTTTATTTCGTCCATATCTCTAAATCCTGCCAATCATTATATGTGCAGAGTAAGCAAAATCTATTATGAACTAGGGAAGCGATTGCAGTCAACTCGACTTTTTCAGCCAGACGTAAGCCTATAGAAAAAGAGTGTGATCAATCTCTTACCCACTTGATTCCAATTGCCTCACTTGCAAAATCAGCTACATAAGTGAATTTAATCAGCCCTATGAACCTACAAAAACCTTTATTATAATGCCTGTGAACTATAATTTCGACTTGGTTACTAATTAACCTAATAAGCTAGGAAAGCTAATTATCTCCTCTTGTTTTTCTGTCTTCTATTTACCTACCCTCTCCCAGCACTTCTACTTCGCAAAGCACATAAACTAACGATCGTTTGTGCTATAAAGCATAGTGCTTATATTTTGCATTCCTTAATTTATAACAAGGGGAAGAAACTTTATGAAGTTATAACATTTTCTCCGCGATTCTTTCAACCATGAAATTTGTTACTCTTATCCTTTTACAGGCATTTTAATTTCACCTAGTTACGGCTGATGAGGAAGAGTCTGTGAAATAAATTATTATCATTTTATGCTGCAAATTCGTTTTTTTTCTTCTGTATAGAAAATTGGACAACACTAAATAATCCTGGTTCTACCTAATTAGTTAATAATTACCAATTTGTGTATATTCACAACGTATAATCCCGGGTTCATTACTACCCAGAGTATGTCAGTCCATTAAATAAAAACAAATAATCCTTAGGTAGAATAAAATTTAAAAAAAAAACATTACTGTGACCAAGATAAGGAGAGTGGTTCAACAAAACGTTGTTGAACACATAATTTAGGTTTTTATCCGTGCATAGCAGAAGCTCTAGCTATACATGGACAGAAACCTAAATTAAATTTTCAGGAGCGGCTTCTTAAACACCTTAGATATCCGCTGATTTAATAAAACCTTATAGAAATAAATAGTTCATTACTCTCATTTATCGTTACATGTTCTAACAACCAGTTGGTCTTGGTTCCCTTCGTATTGAGTTATTTTAATTGAGGAAAAAGTTGTTAAATGAATGCTAATGACGAAAACGAAACCGAGTATCAGTTCATGATGTAATTCACTGTCTAAAAGGAGTATACCTAAAATGAAATAAGATATACTGATAACAGAAGTGCTTATCAATCAGCAGATAAAAGCGTGATCAAACTATTTGATTATTGAATCAAAACGAAAACAAATAACTTAATAAAATTTCGATGCATCCAAAACAGAACAGCAGTGTAGTAAATAAAAATAATCTCGAAAAAATTTCTACCGGCGATGGAAAGTATGTAAGGCAAATTTTTTTTTAAAATACTATCAGTATTTCCAATATTTTGTTCATCAGTAGGTCTACTCAAAAAAAGAGTTATTACAAGAAGATCATACACCCTATTATAGTGAGTTTTATCAACGGCTTAAATCACTAACCCCTTTTCCAAACAAAATAAAGCAAGTGATGATGAAAGAAGACGAAAAGTAGTCTCTCTATATGTAACTACACTGTTCACTTATTGTTATTCGTTTCACGCCTCCTAAGTGGAATATATGGGGCCTCACTTGTACATATAACTGGCTCTACAACTGCCTATAAACTTTCATTTCCTTTTCGCATTGTCTCCACCATTCAATATTCGGACACCCAACTCTTTACTAAGTTACCTGGTGATGAAAGTCTTCAGTCGCCCGTTGGAAATGATTTTGGTGAAGGTTGAACCAAGACTGTGAACCATACGTAACCACTTACTTGATATTAATGTGTATAATTCAAATCTTATTTCTTGTGGTAAAAGCAGCTCATACTTGTACCAAGTTTATAGTGGGTTATAAACGCCACAATCAGTTCAACTTTTTGGATCTTAGCACGAAAAGGAGAAATGATGGGGGAACTGAAAGGAAACTGTTTACAGAAAAGAAATGTGGGTGGGTGAATACTTAAATTGTCACAGTTTTTCTCCAGTTGGCTACCTTTAGAAAAAAGTATTGATTAAAAGCTCATGTTTACTGAAAAAAAAATCTGAAAGAGAAAGGATATTTTATGGAGTTCATAATAAAATCTGGAACAGGAGGAAGGTTCATAGTGAAGTCCGTAACCGTTGAGAAAAATGAGTTTCTAGTCTCCTGGTATCCTAATGAAGAGACGCATCAACAAGAATAGAAAAAGAATCAAAGGTAACCTGAAAATGAAATATCATGTCATGGAATTGATTCCGCCTTATAACACAAAATGTTGATTAATTCAGTCTAACGTAGTCAAGTTTTCTTCTGCACTTACTGAATGATATGCAGTTGCGGCTGCAAGTAAATCGGAAGGACTGAGTGGAGGGATGTACAGGATTTTCTTAACCATCTTCGTGTAAGAACTAAGTGCCATCCCTAGGCATCTGGTTGACACGGAAATCGGTCAAGCCTTTAAACTAACCAATGCTGTCACAAGATTTCAACTTAATCTATGTATACCGGAAGACAGTGTGATTAATCCTTTTCTAGTCTAGTTGCGTTATTATTTTTACATTTTCACTCACTGAGCTGATTGATTACTTATTATTTCATCCCTTTATGTACCAAGTCCAGCATAGGACTTTAAGCTTCAGATTTAGAGTCTTTACGGAGTGGGGCTACTAACCTCACGCCCAACCTTCCCTGCTTCCTGGGTTTACTTCCAGTTAGTGAAGGTAAGAGAGTGGGTCGGCCTAGAAGCGAACTGCGGGCTGCATGCGTCGTTGGTGAGAATTCCATCAATGAACCGCTGAATCAATCATATAAATTTATTTTTAATCCACTACCTTATTTAACTGTTTGCTTATACAATAACTATACTTTTACATACCTTATTTTATATATCTTTTCTTTTTATTCCTTCACGTTCCCAGTGGAACATAAGGCTTCAAGCATCTAGCTTGAAGTTTCTGTAGCAGGGTTTATTTTTACAGGATGGGGTTGCTAGCCTCATGCCCAACCTTTCCTCTTCACCAACTTTTTAATTCTGGCTTAGCAAGGTAAAGGAGTGCGCCGGCCGGGGATCGAATCCCAGACCATGTGCATGGTCGGCGAGCGTCCTTATCGCTATGCCACCGACGCACATTTTATATATCTACATTTATGATAACTTGCGTAATATTTAGGCTGTTAGCAGCTGAATGAACTCCGTGAAATAATAAATCAGCTCCTTTTATCTCTTAAATATATTCATTCTTGCTTTGTTTAAACTAATGAAGGGATCAGGGTGTTTAATAAATCTGTTATTAGATTGAATATTTGTGAAGTAAAATGCAACTGTACTTCCAGAGTTCATTCATACAATGGTAGCAACCAATTTAAAGTATCGTTTCGATGCTGATCACTTCTCAGTCATATTGTTCCAGAATGTATAACTTTTTATTAGAAATTAGTCAGTGGTCATTGTTAAATTGTCTGAACCTAAATTCCTCCAAATATCAGGTTGTTGTAAACTTCACTTTCAGACACAAGGGTAACTTATAAGAACTGGATCGGTCCTATGATTCTAGTATCATATTTGACACTAACGTTGAAACTAAGTCGCGTGTTAAATACCTAGGACTGTGTATTTCGTCTGGTCTTTGATGATCTTCCCATATCGTCTTGGTTTCTAGAAAGATATTTTGCTAATCTCCTAGGTAAAGAAGTTAAAACAATCTCGTGTCACTCAGCCTCCACTTTTACAGTTGGTTAGTTCATATATTCTACCTATCCTTTATTGCTCCGCACACCTTAATCATTCCTGGACTACTTAAGAAAGACTTTGTTACACTGCGAATGGTACTAAAAGCTGTCAGTCGGGGGAATGGGGTACCGCTAAACCAACTGATCAGTACTGTTGTAGATAGACACATGAACTGATGCAAGGAATCAGCGAATATTTTCTTGTCGGATCCTCATCATCCTCTGTATATACAACTCCCCCTTGTAATTCATTAGGTAGAACTAGAAGCAATTATAGAAGACTAAATGTTCGAAAAACCAAGTATAGAAACTCTGCAATACCTTACTTGTGGGATGAGAAAAGTGTAAGGCATGACACCGATAAGTTCCTACAAAAAACTAGGTTAACATCATTTTTTGTTCTTTCTTTCATTAATATATTGTTGTTAAAATATTTCAACTTGAATTTTGATTATATATTCATATTCTTATTGAAGAATGTTACCAGCGTGTATGTCCTGTTTAATTGTCACCGCAGTATTGTGTAATAGGAAAATTAGATGCAGTACTGTATACACGCTGAAAATTCCATATTTGCACCGAAAGTACTGTTTGAAATAAAGCTGCTATTATTATTACTATTGTTTGTCTGTTCTTACTTCTTCTCTCTAGAAACAGTGATACAAATTTCTTAATACTATTTCATGTAAGAACACTTGTAGATATTATTTTATCTGGTTTGATGAAGTCATGAATATAAACGGTCATAAGAAGACAAAGTTAAGTCTACTTCTGAAACATTTTCTCTGTTTTAACTTTCAGAACTTAAAAAGTGACGTGCATTGTTGTACATATTTAAATCTGG